CCTGTACCCAAGCTTGCCCCACAAGTCACCGCTCGGATCATTCATGAGGAGATCGCGACTAGAAGACAAGTCCAGGGCGCATCCCAAAACGGGATTTATTGATGCTGAAGACTTCATTCTTATCCTTTACTGCTAATTGGCAGATTTGTATAATTCTTGGATCCGTCCCGGTGGAGCGAAAGTTCAAAGTGAAGAGTCGGTTTGCAGTGGGCGCAGCCAATCGCTAATGCACCCTGGCCAGTTCGACTTTCTACCTATTTAGAATCAAACTATTGTCGAGTGGGAATGAAAACATTGCCCTTATCATAGACGATTTCTGCAAATCAGCAGCTACCCACATGGCCTCCAAAAAGCCTAACGGCCCAGAACGACCCTTCAACTCAGAATAGATCGTTACATATATTGTCTGGTTATAAGTTCTGTCGAATTTACGGTGCTATTCCTTGAGAAGTAGGCTGTGGGGTCTCATGGAAGGACAAGTTCTCCACTCAGCCCCTGTAAGCTCCATACGCTGACAGTTGACATACTGCAGTACAGGATTGCCGCATTAGCAAGCTCCACCGATTTTCGGTCGCTTGATTGCAAGCAGAGATCTTTAGAGATCAGTTTTTTCTCTAATGATGCTCCATACCCGTTTCGGGCTACACTGATCACTTGTACCCTGCTTAGCTTCCCCGGACGACCTTGACGAGTGCACTCACCGCGTAGCTGTTCCAGTCTTCGATTAGCCACCATCTCTCATCATTTGGGGCTGTTTCAGTCAATCACCGTCCCTACTACTTTCGCTGATTGACATGTTTATATGGCGTTTCTAATCGATCCTTGTATTTTATATTGGATTATCATCGAATATATTTAACTAAGAGCCCAAATCAGTCGATTTTGGACTTGTTTATCTGTTTATTTGGATGTTTGTTCAACAAATTTCGACCTTATAGATACAGTGCTAACGAAAAAGTGCAAGTGGAGCGCTTGGAAAAGCAAATTATACCAGTTTGGAAAGTACAAGAGCAAATCTAACTAGTACCCATAGGTAGCGGTTTTGTAGTTTAATGATGGGGAAGGCATTTATGGAGTCGGCAGTATCCTCATTTCTCTTGACGATTCCGAAATTCCAGCTCCACTATATCCGCTCCGATCTGCCCTGTAGTTCCCTTACCTTTCGTAATCAAGCCAACGTTCATGAAAGTGAAAAATTGGAAGCAACTCTTCAGCATTGGGTAGTTATCTGGAGACAGCCGAACTTATTGGAATCCTGTCTGTTCTGTGAGCATTGACGCCATCAATTTCTGGTCACGATAACCTTCGGAGGCTCCCTCATCCCTCCGAGAGCTGTTGCATCGATTTTTGGATAGAATTATCTTTTGAAAGTTCAGTTCAGTCTGCTATTCAATCCAGGATAGCCATGCAGTTGACAAGTAGGATGTCTTCAGAAGAACTCCCTTAGTTTCATAACAGCAGGGAGTTGATTTCTAGCTCCCTTCACTATAATTTTATGCAAACCTGATAAGATTTCGGAGAGATCTGTGATTTGAGTGGAAATTCAGTACTAAACATACTTCATGTGGCTTAAGTACGTGTAGTAGTTCACAAGCTGTGCAGGGGTGTCATTCGTGCTGAATGGTATGAAAACTGGAGAGAGTTTAATTCGTCAAAACTAATGACTACTTGCTCTCAAGTTTTTCTATGAACGACTGATTGGCATGGCACCGACTAGGTTTTGATAGTTCTTTTCCTTCGTTTCTTTATACGTAAACTGCCAAGTCCGACGGGACACTGATCAGAAGTAGAACGCATGGCGCATCCCAGAGAGGGATCAGTGGTTGCCGGCAAATTCTTCTTCCACGACTGCCATGATTAGTTATTTATTACCTAACGCATTATTCATTATTCACAGTGTTTTTGTCTTTTTCTAAAAACCGATCGATAGCTGAAATATTCAGCCAAACGGGGAAGGAACTGGGTAGTCGACTTTGACTACTCTGGTCAGTAAGCCTTTTTTAGAGTCCAAGCTTTTATAGTGAGTTCTAATACTTCTACTTCACTAGTAGGCTAGTCCCACTAGTAAAGTAGAACTCGCCGATCTTTTAAGTTGTCTAACTAATGAGAATCGTATTCGAATCGAAATTCTTGCTGTAATAATGTCGTCGAATTGATTTGTTGATGTCAACGTTGTGTTTTATGTTCATCAGGGTCGCTAATTCAGAAATATTGCCATTGTTCACAAGTTTTCCTAGTTTCATTCCAATAGTTTTTCGGACACTCAGAGAGCTCCTCGTTGTGGCTGGGAACCCAGTTAATTTCTTCTTATACTAGTCTTTTTGTATGACTGTCCTCAAATTCCAATAGAAAAGTCGAAGAGAAAAGGGTTACACTCGCACAATCGGCGATGTCAGTTCAGATTTGTCCCTCTGCTCATCTCCCCCTACGGCCTGTTTATAAACTTTAGTTCCCAGTGTAGGCGCTGTGACTTTCAAGTTAGGCGATCCTGGAACTCGCCTGCCTGATTGTTTTTCGAGGGGGAATGATTTTCGAAAAAGGCAGTCACGCAGACGGGTTCCAATACCGCCTTACTGGGTGGAGGGGGGGGGGGGTCATCACACGGGTACTTTCTGTCAATTTGTTCAACTGCTTCACCTGACTTCAAAATCAATTTTTCCATCTATTACGGTTTTGTTTTGTATCAACATAAGTAGGATATGGTATTTAAAATTTAATTGTTTGATTTTTATTAAAGCCCATAAAGGCCCATAGCCCACAAAACAGCCCAGGTGTTCTCAAGCCATAGTTTGATAACTTACTGTTCTCCACAGGACTCGGCGATATCACCGAAAGAGACCACTTCAGAGACACCTCGTTGTAGCTTGTGGCTCCTGAATTCTTCACCACACACGGTCCCATGTGATACCATGTGATAGATGTCTGGGTCACACTACGGGCTGTTGGATCAAAACCACCCCCAGGCGTTCCTAATCCCCGAAAAGTTCGAGGAACGAGGGCTTAAGTAGCATCTCTAGCCTGAAAATTAGACTGGTCGTCTCCAATTAATGCTACTTTTTGAATACTTTTGCGTAATTGCAAGCCTTTTCTATACCGAGTAGTGGATGAATGTTGTTTGTTTACAAATCCCCTGATGTTGTTTTTGTTCAGAAAATGCGATTACTGTTGTTGATCAGTATTGCTACCTTGAGTACAGCAGAAGATCTCGTTGCTATGGGATGTGGCCGAGACCCGTCATTACCTTTCTGCAAAGTTCATGCGGCTAAGACCAAAGATGGAGGCAGCTCTGAAATCACCGAAAAAGACAAGGTAACAATGGTGTCACGGAAAAACTGAAGAATCATGCACTATTTGTCAACTTCTTCTCTTAGCCTCGGAATTCTGGGCTTGAGCTCTGCCAGGACCAAAATGGGATGAAAGGAAAATGATAATTTTTTTGGTCAGTTGATCCCGTTCCTAGGGTGCAACCATCATTCGAGTTCCATTCAAAGGCACGGTTTACAATGAAATCGTTACTGAGTTCTTCCTTTGTGAATACTCAGTAGCCCCTAGGGGTGGTAGAAGGGGCCATCTCGGTGCCAAAATCTCGACGCTTAAGGCATAGTAGAAGCCCTGTTGCTGCCGTAAATCGCTTTCCCGCCCCTTGATCGATGTCACGTCAGATGAGCGTCGAGGCAATATAGAATGCGAATGTTCTTTAGGAACCACACACAATCAGCTGAGTGATGAGGCGATGTTTTCCTCCCATTCTTTTTTCCTCTGTTATCCTTTTTGCTGCTGCGATCCCTTTTTTAATTTCCTACCCCGAGAGGCTGAAAAAGGTGAGCTATTTT